GGGGCGGGGCGGAGAGAACGGGGTGAGGAGGAGGAGGCAAGTCGACAGGCCGCCGGCCGGGAGAGGCACCCGACAGACGCACATGGAGTAGCAGCAAGTCCGACAGGGAGGCCAGCGCCTCGGCCGGGTAGTCGGCGTTGGACGCCTGGCTCAGTAGCACCGCAGCCACAACGTCTACGAGGCCCTCGGTCGCGGTCGACAGCAGCCCCAGCGAGGGGAGGTGCGTCGCGTGGGAGAAGTCGACCGGCGCCGCTTCGGCGGTCGGGGCTGCGGCACTGGGCGGTGCCCCGGGGCCGAAGCCCAGCGGGGCACCCGGGGGCGGCGGCAGTGCCATGTGGCTGTTCATGCTTTGCCCAGGCGGAGGCGCCAAAGGGAGGGGGACCGGCCCAGGTCCGAGAGGTGGCGAGGACAGGGGGAGGGGGCGGAGGTGGCAGATGGAGAATCAACCGGAGGGGAGGAGGGACGGGCGGGGAGGAGGGCGCGAGGGAGGAACCACAGTGGAGGAGGAGGAGGAGGCGGTGGCGGAGCAGGAGGGGGAGGAGGACGCTGCCTGCCAGGTGCACTCACACCAGGGCGCCCGAGAGCAGCCTCGCTTCAATGCCGTTGGTGGGCGTGGGGGCGCGCACATCTGCCAACGTAGATGGCGCGCGACACGATCGGGGGCCCAATTGCCCATGCTCCGTGCCGGCAGGCGGCCTAGTTCAAGCGGGCAGGCGCGATCGCGCCCCCGCCAAGAGGCCGGACCCCGGGTGGATGCCCGAGGATTGCCCAAGCCCCCCTCCCTCTCCGCCCTCCCCCGCCCCCTCCCCGTCCCTCCCCCGCCCCCTCCCCCCGCCCATGTGCGCATAGATGCGTAAGCGCGCGCACACACACAGACAGACAAACAGACAGACAGACACGCAGCACACACATTCGTCACGCACCAATCGCGGTCTGAGTTCGAGCCGGATAGAGCGGCTGGCATCAGGAACAGACTTGACTGCTCGAAGCACATGTCCGCCTCGCACTCCCCTCTGACCCCCCCGTCCGAGGGCGGCTCCCTCGACACCTTGGATTCCTCCCTGGCGGGTGCCTCTGCGAAGGGGGCACTCTTCTCCCGGCACCTGGCTGCTCTGGCCGAATGTGCGTCACCTGGCCTGCGCGCCTTCGGCTTCTGCTTGACCGCCAGCTGACAGTCACCTGTACCCCATGTGCACACAACACACACACACACACACACACACACACACACACACACATAATTTGCAACAGGCGAGTCTGCGGCTCGGGCACTCACGCCGGATGCCGATCTCCAGGAATGGCTGACTACGGCGCGGGCCGCGGCCTTGGCCGCCGCCACCGATGCCCGGGGCGCCCTGACATCCTCCCCCCAGGCCGGGGGTCCATCCAGCGAGCTGCTGGCCCTGCGAGCAAGCCTGTTCGAGCCGCTGGCCGCGCGGCTGCTGCGGCTGCTCTACGGCCTGGAGGCCGGCACCGAGCCCGATGGGCCCCGCGTGGCACTGATCCCCCTGGCGGCGGAGTCCCCTGGCGAGGGTGACATCCTGCGCTTTCTGGCCATTTGCCCCTGTGCGCACGGTGCCCTCCCCTTGCCGGTGGATGGCAACATTGTTTGTTGGCGCTTGGTTGCCTTCCCGATTCTCACCCCCTCCTCTCCCCCCCCCTAACCCCGGACAGATCGCACCCTGCGCCTGTGTTCCAACTTGCTGGCCTCCTTCTCGCTCGGCGGGTCGGGCCCCGGGCCGGCCGCCATGCGCTTTGCCCATGGCCTCGTGCGGGTCTTGCGCGGGGCGGTCTTCCCGGGCCCCGGTGCCCTGGTCGCCCTGCTGGAGGAGATGGCCCGGCCGGATGCCGCCGAGTTCACCGCCTTCCATGTTGACGGCGTCACGGCGGACCCCGCGCCGGTGCCTCTTGCCCAGCTGACCGCCGGCTTCCAGGCCGTGGCCACCATTCCCGACCGGCTGTTGCGCCTCTTCCCGGCCGGGGTGGACGACTTCTTTTGGCCGGAGTGCGTACCCATCTGGGCGATGGCCTCGTGCCACTGCGTGCCCTCTTGCACGCGCGCGCGCGCACACACACACACACATACATACATACATACATACATACATACACGAATCCCGGCCTCTCGATCTCCCCCTGCCCTCCTGCCTCCCCGCTCGCTCCTCTCTCCCTACTGACCCCGCACACACCCAGCCACTTCTACCAATACCTGAGCTCGGAGATTGCCCGGGCTTCGGTGGCCGGGGCTCTTGCCACTGCCCCGGCACACTACCTGGCGGGATTCCTGCTGGCCGGGCTGCTTCAACGTGGGGCCGCCCTTCCCGGCGGTGACGCCATGCCCGAGATCCTGCCGACGGGGCTGTCGCCGGCCGAGCAGCACGCCATCCGGCGCCTCTTCCAGCATGGGCCGCCGTCCACCTTCCGGGGGAACCCCTGTCTCGGGGCCGCGGTGGCCGGGGCCGCGGTGGCCCTCCTGTCACCGGGCCCCGGGCCCCATGCTTCTGGGGGCTGCCTCTGGCGCGGCATGGCTGCCCACCCCTCGGCCCGGACCCCCGGGTCGCCACACCACCAGTGGCTGCGTGCCTGCTTGGAACTGGCCGGGGCCATGTTGACTGGTGCCGGGGACTTCTGGCCGGTGGCTGGCCAGCCGGCCGGCTCGCTGGTATGGCTGCTCACCGGCCAGGCACCGGAGGCCGCTCCTCTGGCTGCGCCGCCTGCTGCCGCTGCTGCCACGGCTGCCGGGCCAGCCCTGCTGGCTGCCTATTTGGCCGTGCTGGACCGCCTGGACATTCGCCAGGCACTGCTGGGAAAGGGCCCACACCTGGCGGCCCCCTTCTCGGGCTTGCGCCCGGCCGTCGCCTTTCTCGGGGAGAACTTGCTCCCCGCCTCGACCAAGGACTGGACACTTATCGGGATTCTCCCGGCGCTGGGCTTCGCCGCGGCCGTCGGGCTGGCCGCGCGCGGCACGGCGGATCTCCTGCGCACGGAGCTGGCCTACTTGATGCCGGCATGGGCCCGTCTTTGTCGCGCCGGCGAGCCGGCACAAACCCTCGGTTCGTTACACACGCACACACTTGCATACGCACACACTTGCATACGCACACACTTGCATACGCACACACTGCATACACACACTTGCATACACACACACACACACACACACACACACACACACACACACCTGGGAAGCTCTTCCTCGCTGACCAAGCACGCCTGCCTGTGCCCGGCCCTGTGGTCCCTGGTCCAGTGCTCGGCTGTGCGATGCTCCTCATGCTGGCCTTCGCCACCGGGCCACCGGGCAAGTGCCCGGCGAATGCCCGGACACTGGGTGGTCTGGCTTCCGGCCGGCCGGCCCTGCTGGACCACTCGCAAGTGATCGACGCCCTGTCGCCGTGTGTGGATGCCCTGAGCGTCGGGGCGGCAAGCCTGTCGGACTCGATGCGGTGCTTTGGCCTGGCTTGCGTTGAGGAGGTGGTCCGGTTCCTGGCCAATGCCGGCGACGCCGGCGTCGAGCTGTCCGTGGACTTCGAGCTGCCGAATGGCGATCCCTTTGTTCGGGTGGCGCGCTTGCTGGCCGGACTTCGGCCAGCCACGCTGGACACCGTGCCGGCCTTTGGCCAGGGTCTGTGCCGGGAGCTTCTGCTTGTCTCGGGCCCCGCGCACGGGGTGGCCCCGTGCGAGGGACTGGCGGCGCTGCGCCGCACGGCACACCAGCCACCGCCGAGCCCCGGGCCGGCCCCAGGCCTCGCCACTGCCGAGGCCGCGGGCGGCCCCACCGGCCAACCGGACCCGGACCCGGACCCGGAGGAGGACGATGTGTTTGCCTCGTACGCCGCGCCGGCCGGCGCTCGGGCAGCCCCCCCCACCGGCCAGCGCATCCTCCACTTGGCCCAGTGCTCCGACGTGCTGGCCACCCTGGCGGCCTTCTCCCAAACGTCGGGCGCCGGGGCGGCGGCCGCTCGGCGTGGACCGGTGCTGGAACGCGTGCGCCCGGGCGATGATGACGACCCGGCCGGGCCCGGGGACCTGGGCACCGGCGGCGGCCCGGCCGAGGGGGAGGACCCCTGGCAAGACCCGGGGTATGTGGCCGGCCGGGCACGGGCCGCCCTGGAAGCGGTGGCCCGCATCGCCGGGAGCTTCCCCCCGGGCGGGGGCCCCGGCTTCCAGGCGACCACGGCCCGAGGCCTGGCCCGGCAGGTGGCTCTCCTGTCGGACAGCTACGGCACCGGGGCCCTGCTGGCGGCCGAGGCAGTGCGCAACCGGCCGGCCGGCGCCCGTGCTCCCTCCTCGGCCGAGGTGGCCCTGCTGGCGGATGCCCTTTTCGAGGGGCTCCAAGCCCGGGCGCTGGTGGCCCTGGTGGTGGCCTGGCCCACGGCCGCCGGGGCCGATGGGCTCCTCTGGGATGTGGCCCTGGCCGGGGGGCCGTCGCATGCCGGGGCCCCGGTGCGCATTGGCCATGAGGCCCGCGTGCGGGCCCTCAACGCCACCCTGCAGGCGGTGGCCCTGCTGGCCGGCTCGGCGGACTCGCCGCCGGGCATGGGCCTCCCCGGGGCGGGCCCGCCCCCGGGCCCGGGCCCCGCCCTGCCGAAGGGCACGGTGTGGCGCTCAAGTCGCCTGGATGGCCCCCGGTCGGGGCCTCTGGCGGCCGGGCGCACCCGGCGCCGGCATTTCGCGGCCCTCGGCCCGCGGCTCCTGCGGCCGCTGCTGCTTCTTTTCTCCTCCACCGGGCCCCTGGCCGGGGGGGATCCGGCGCCGATGCCCGGCCCCGATGGCCGCCCCTCCGGGCCCCGGCGGGAGGTCCTCGGCGACACGCCCGACCCCCTGGCCCGAGCCCTGCGCATTGTGGGCGAGGACGCCGGCCGCGCGCCCGGGCCCGCCGCCTCCACCCCCCTGACCATGCTGGGCGCCGGTGTCGGTGCCGGTCCCCCGTGGCTCCACTCGCCGATGGTGGCCGCCGCGGCATTGACCCTGGCCGCGGCGCTCACACACGCCTGGGCCGCCGAGGAGCTGGCCGACGCGTCGTCAGGGGCCTTTGCCCTGCTGGAGCTGGCCCAACACTCGGTGCTCCCGGCGCTGGATGCCCCTGCTGGTGGCCCGGCCGCCGACCGGCTGCGGCCCTGGGCCGACCAGCTGCGCGCCGCCCTGCTGGACTGCCTCCAGGCCGCCGGCCATTGCATTGCGCAGGGCGCCCGGGCCGCCGGGCCGGGGTCGCTGCTTCCGGATGTCGAGGCCCTGGCCGGGTCCCTGCGCGATGATGCCCTGGCCGGGCTGGGGCTCGGGCGTTTCCTCCTGGACGCCGGGGCCGCCCTGACCGGCCAGCCGGCCGTCCCCGGGGCCGGGCTCATCACGGCCACCGTCCGTCAGACGCATGCCGAGGAGCGTCGCATCGCCGGCGTCGAGGCCCTGCGTGACTGGTGCATCCGTAAGTCGGCCCCTTCCTCTCTCTCTCTCTCTCTCTCTCTGGCCCCCTCGCCGCCTCCCGCCAAATCATCCTGCCGGCAGATCCCTGACCCCCCACCCCCGCCCCTGCCCCCCCCTGCGCCAGGCTTGGCCGACTCCCCGGATCACTCGAACTCCCAACGGAGTGCGGCGGCCGCTGCCGCCCTCGCTCTGGACGCTGCGTGGAAGGCGCTTTGCGGTCTCGAGCTCGAGGATTACCACCACCAGTAGCCGTTCAGATGCCGGGCGATCGGCGCCAGTGGCTGGCCATCCGATCGTCCCCCCGCCCCCCCCGCATACACACCCCTCCTTGTCCCTACGCCCCCAGACACACGCCAAACCCCCCCCCCCCGCCCACCCGCCCCCCCCCCGGGGCCCGGGGGCGCCTGTCCGGGTGGGGGGGGGGGGGGGGGGGGGGGACAGACATAAAATATACAAAAATGCTTGCCTCCGCCGTGTTCGTGTCGCATTGTCCCAGCCAGACTCCGGTTGCTCCCTTCCCCTGCTCTCTCTCTCTCTCTCTCTCTCTCTCTTGCCTGCTTCCCCCTCCTCCTACCGCCCTCGCCGCCACCTCGCCGGTCGCCGTGTCCAAGCCCACGCCCTCGCCCACCGAGGATGTCCTTCTTCTTCGGCAGAAATGTGTCTCCCCCGGCCCCACCACCTACTCGCTCGCTCATTACTGGATTCTTCCCCCCCCCCACCCCCACCACCGAGACCCCCAATTAACACATGCTCGCTCTCGCCTCCCGGGAACCGATAGAAGGCCCAGCCCCCTGCGCCGGCTCGGGCGCCTGCTTCGCAGGCCATGCCGATGGCATCCAATTATGACAACATCTCCGACGCGGATTTCGACGACGAGGCGCTGCTGGCCGAACTCAATGCGCTGGTGCCCCCCTCGAAGCCGGCGGCGCCCGCACGCCCGGCCACACGCCCGGCCACTCGCCCAGCCGCCGGTCCCGGCGCCCGGCCGGCGCCCTCGGCCACGCTTGCCGGGGGGCTCATGAGCCGGAACTATGACAACATCTCCGATGCAGATTCCGACGATGAGTCCCTCCTGGCGGAACTCGGTGCCCTGACTGTCAGTCAAAAGCCGGGCCCCCGGCCGCAGGCGACGCCCAGTCGACCTGCTGCCACCAGTGCGATGCCCGTGGCCTCGCTTCTCGATCGCAACTACGATGACATCTCCGACGCGGACTCCGGCGATGAGGACCTCCTCGCCCAGCTCGGTGCCCTGGAGCCCAAGCGGCCCTCTGCCCCGGGCCGCGCTCCTGCCCCGGGCCGCGCTCCTGCCCCGGGCCGCGCGCCCGGCCCCGGTGCCGCCCCTGCTCAAGCCTCGAGCTTGGCCCACGTCCCCGCCCGCGTCCCTGCCCCGGCCACCGAGGTGGACCTTCTGAACCGGAATTACGACGACATTTCGGACGCCGGGTCCGATGATGAGGATTTGCTGGCACAGCTCGACTCGTTGGATGGCCCGGCTGTCCCGCGCCCGAGCGCCCCCAGGCTGCCTGTCCAGCAGCCCGCACAGCCGCCGCGCCAGCCGCCGGGGCCCGTGCCGAGGCCGCAGCCCCAGCGCCCGCCGGCGGCCGCCCCAGTGCCACAGCCGGCCGCCGTTGGCCTGCCCCTTGATCTGTCGCTGCTTGATCGGAATTATGACGACGATCACATGTCGGATGCCGGCTCGGATGATGACGATCTCCTGGCGCAGCTTGGCGCCCTTGAAGCCTCGGGCCCTGCCCGGCCGGGGGCCAGCGCTGCCGGTCGACCTGCCGCCCCGGCAGCCCGGCCTGCCGCCCCGGCGACCCAGCCCGCTGGCCCCGCTGGCCCCGGTGCCCGCGCCCAGCCGGCCAGCCTGCCGGTGGATCTCAACATCCTGGACCGGAACTATGAGGACATTTCGGACGCTGGATCCGATGATGAGGACCTGCTCGCGCAGTTGGCTGGCCTCGGGCCTGTCCGGCCCGC